AACCTCTCCAAAAAAAAAAAAAAAAGACCATGATGGGGATGTTTGTCTTTCTCTGCCTCTCTCTTGCTCATGGAAGAAATAAATCAACTTTTTTTTTGTTTGTTTAACTTTATTTATTTATTCATCCATTTTAATTTGACCTGAGAGGGAGGGAGGGGGGGGAGAGAAAAAGCAAGCCGCCAAGTTCAGGACTCAAATCACAGTGGGCCATGTGGGAGTCCAGCACCCTTAACCATCATGCCACCTGCTGGCCCCATAAGTCTTGGGCCCAAGATCCCAAGAGGAGAATGGAGGAGAAGGGATTGCAGCATGGCCATTCCCCCTGGTGGGTGATTTCTCGCTTTCTGTCTCTCTGTCTCTCTCTGTCTTTCTGGCGAGCACACATGCCCTACAGCAAGAAAAAAAAAGCATAGCACATACAATTATGTACAATACATAATTCCTGATATGACAGTAAAAAACTGTACTAAAGTTTATGTATTGATTATACGACATTTTATCATTATTTTAGAGTATACTCCTATTTACTGAAAAAAAAAAAATTTAGGGCCAGACAGGTGGCATGGTGGTTAAGGCAGCTAGATCCCACACGGCCAACTGTATGATTCAAGTCCTGGATCTGGCAGCTTAAAAAACACGCTGGGCATGTGTGCACGCATGCCCAAAATCACAAGAGGAAAATGGAGGAGAAGGAGAAGGGCTTGTGGTGTGGTCATCCTCCCAGGGGATGACACCTCATTTTCCCTCTTTCTGTCCCTCTCCCTGTCTCTCCGGTGAGCACTCATGCCCTATAGCAAGTTAAGAATTTTTTTTTTTTTAACTTTCTGTAAAACAGGATGTTGTGTTACACTGGCAGCAGCCTCATCCGTCTGTTCAGTATGTCTGTTGACTGCCTCATTTTCTTTTTTTTTAAATTATTTCTTTAATTGTATTTATTATTATTTAATTTGCTATAGGATGCATGCACTCATTAGCGAGAGAGAGACAGAGAGTGAAAAAGCAAGTCCAGCCTATGATGGCAGTGAGCCATATGGGAGTCCAGCGCCTTAACCACCACGCCACCTGCTGGCCCAGCCACGTCATTTTCTCTCGTGCTTGATTTTATCTTGTGCTGTTTTGTCCCTTGTGGCCCTTCCATAAGGTGGGGTGGGTGGGAGAGAGTGGTATTGATCATCTCTACCCTATGTAGGCCTATGCTAATATGTGTGTTTGTGTCTTAGCTTTTTAACGAAAAAGTTTAAGAAATAAAAATAAACAAATAAAATAGAAAAAAGTTTATAGAGTAAGGATATAAAGAAAAAAATATTTTGTACAGTTGTACAATGCATTTGTGTTTTAAGCTAAGTGTTAAGGACTCAAAAAGTTAAAATGTAATTCCTTCAGGAAGTAAAAAAATTACATTAAGTTTAATTTATTATTAAAGAAAGAAAACTATTGGGGCCAGCAGGTGGCATGGTGGTTAAGGGTGCTGGACCCCTATGTGGCCAAGCACGGTTCAAGTACCAGACCTGGCAGCGTGCTTTCTCACTTTCT